TTCAAATATTGTGTCTCCTCAATTTTCTCTCACCTCTCCTCTCTTGTGACAATTAAACACAAGTAAGACCTTTTTACTGTATCTGTCTCCTACCCTCTCCAATTTTTTCCATTTTTTATGTCTCCAGGCTTCCTTGTGGGTATTTTCTTCTGAGCTATTTTCTGGGTCACACAATTTTTTCAGCCTGGGTCTAATCTGCTCTTTTTTTGGTTAATTTTGATTATTATGTTTTTCAATTTTAGAATTTTCTTTTATTGGCTGGGTGCAGTGGCTCACACCTGTAATCCCAGCACTTTGGGAAGCAGAGGTGGGCAGATCACCTGAGGTCAGGAGTTCGAGACCAACTCAGCCAACATGATGGGACTCCGTCTCTACTAAAAATACCAAAAAATTAGCTGGGCGTGGTGATGGGCACCTGTAATCCCAGCTACTTGGGAGGCTGAGGCAGGAGAATTGCTTGAAGCCGGGAGGCAAAGGTTGCAGTGAGCCGAGATCGTGCCACTGCACTACAGCCTAGGTAACAAGAGTGAGACTCAGTCTCAAAAAAAAAAAAAAAAAATTTTATCTTTAGTAGAGGCGGGATCTTGCCATGTGGGCCAGGCTGGTCTCAAACTCGTGACCTCAAATGATCCACCTGCCTCAATCCGGAAGTGCTGAGATTATAGGTGTGAGCCATGCCAGTGTGGACTAGAATTTTCATTTGGTTCTTTATAGTTTCTAGTTCTCTGCCAAAACTCTCAATCTGATCTTGTATCTCCTTAAACACAAGAAGCATAGTTGTTGTAAAGTCTGTGTCTGGTATCTGGAAGCCCTGCTGATCTGTCTATAGTCTGTTGTTTCTACTGGTTTTAACTCAAGTGCCTCCCTGGGTGTCTATTTTTTTTATTGTATGCACAATAATGAATTTACAAACAGACTTGTGAAAGTCATTAGAGGCCGCCATTGATGTTATCTCCCTCTAGAGAGGATTAAAGTTTGTTTCTGTTGGGAATCTGGAGACACTAGTACACTGGGATTACTTTAATTTCAGAGGACTGAGGTGATGTGAAGCAGGGCTGCAGTCCTTCCAAAGTCTTACTTCTGGCTCATGTGTATTCCTTGGAAGTGGCTTCTTGGGATCCCAATTCAAATTGCGAGGGGAGGGTGTCACCCAGGACTGTTGCCCTTTGGCAGAACCTGGTGCCTCGGACAGTCTCACAGGGCTCAGCCTCTCGGCTCCCATGTTTGTTTTGTTCATGGCCCAGTGTTCGTTCCCCAGGGCTGCCCTAGGGCTGCCACAAAACTTCAAGGCTTAAAACAAAACTTGAAAAAAAAACAAAACAAAACTTGACTGTCTCGCTGCTCTGGGGGCTGGAAGTCCGAGATCAAGGGATCAGAAGGGCCGCACTCCCTCTGAAGGCTCTAGGGGAGATTCCATCTGTTATCTCTTCCAGCTTCTAGTGGCCCCAGGCATTCCTTGGTTTGCACCAACAGAACTCTAATCTCAGGCTCTGTTTTCCCATAACCTTTTTCTCTATATGTCTTTCTGTCAAATCTCCCTCCCCTTTCTCTTATAAAGACACCAACACTGGATTTAGAGTTTCTCCTAAGTTCACGATGATTTACTCTCAAAATATTTAATTAGCCAGGCACAGTGGCTTGAGCCTACACTCCCAGCTACTCAGAAGCCTGAAGCAGGAGGATCACTTGAGCCCAGGAGTTTGAGACCAGACTGGGGAATACAGCAAGACCCCATTTCAAAACAAAAATTTTTGGCCAGGCACAGTAGCTGTAATTCTAGCACTTTGGGACAGCAAAGGGGGAGGATTGCTTGAGCCCAGGAGTTTGAGACCCCAAGCATGGGCAACATAGTGAGACCCCCGTCTCCACAAAAATTTGTTTTTAAATTAGCCAGGCATCATGGAACGCATCTGGAGTCCCAGCTACTCAGGTGGCTGAGGCAGGATTGCCTGAGCCCAGTTAGAGACTGCAGTATGCCGCTGCACTCCACCCTGGACAACCGAGCAAGACCCCATCTCAAAAAAAAAAAAGAAAGAAAATATTTTTAAAAGATATTTAACTAATATCTTATTATACCTACACCCTGAAGTTCCAGATGGACCAAATTTGGAAAAGATGCCAAACCCACTACAGATGCCACTATAGATTCCAAGGTCAAAAGCAGCCCCAAATACCACACTCACTTCCACAGACCTTCAGCCTCCCCAGATCCTAGTCCAGAAATTCAGCATCATCTCATTAGTAGACTGTGCTTGGCAGACTGGCTCCTCAGTTACTCAGCCCACCACTGCCAGAAGCAGAAGTCACTGCTCCCTACTCACCTTTCAGACCCCAGCCAGCCACTGCCTCAAGAGGCCCTCCCAGACCTCCCTGATACCAGGTCAAATTTACCTACGATGTCCTCTCAAAGTATTCTGGCTCTCTCCTCATCAGCACCAGTCCCCATCACAACTTTATATTAACCGTGCAACTGTTTTATTAATGTCTTCTAGACTATCATCTCTAAAAATTTTTGTTGCTGTTGTTACTCAATAAGATACCCCTAGTGCCTCGCACAACAATTAACAATGTTAAGATCTCAAATATTTGCTGTTAAACTGAACCAGTGAAATAAAAAATATAATACCTAGCCATGATATTCCCACTAGTACTCAATAAATTAACAATTTCTTTAAAAAATGGTCTTTGCTAATTTTCAGCCAGATTTGTTTGTATTTGCTCTTCTGGAGCCCAGAGATGGAGACTCAGACCAGCTTGAGCTGAAGAAAAATGGAGTCAGGGAAATGATTCCTATCTGGGATAAAAAAAGAACAATCAGAAAGACAAAAAATAATCAAAAGCAACCATTTAGTGATCACTTACTATACATCGGCCACTATGTTAGGCGTTCTACACAGATTATCCCATTTAATTCTATGAGTTAACATCCCCATTCCTATTTTACGGATATGACAACCATTATTTCTATTTTACAGACATGGAAACTGAGGCTCAGGAACACACAGTTACACAGTGAACATTTACTGTCACTACAACCAACCTAAGATCTAACATTTTCCATGTTTACAGATGAGGAAACCAAGTCTTAAGGGAGGTTTAGATGCCCTGTCCACAATCGCATGCTTCTTAACTAGAAGCACAGGGTCTGAAGCAACTTTATCTGACACCAAAGTTTAGACTCTGAAATCCAACAATAAAATGGTATTAAAAACCTTCTACATTACTTCATACCTACTAGGATGGCTACTATCAAAAGAGAGATAATAACAGGTACTGCCAAGGATGTGGAAAAATTGGAACCCTCCTCATACACAGCTGGTGGGAATGTAAAATGGTATGGTAGCTTTGGAAAATAGTCCAGTAGTATTACCATATGGCCCAGCACTTCCACTCCTACGTATATAGCCAAGATAAATGAAAACCAACGTCCACACAAAAACCTGTACATGAATGTTCATAGCAGCACTATCCAGAATAGCCAAAAAGTAGAAATAACTCAAATGTCCATCAACTGATAAATGGATAAATAAAATGCAGTGTATCTGTATAATAGAATACTACCCAGTAACAAAAAGAAGAAATGAAGTACCGATACATGCTATGACATGGATGAACCTTGAAAATATCATGCTAAGTGAAAGAAGCCAGAACACATATTGTATGATTCCATTTTTATAAAATGACCAGAATCAGCGAACACAGAGACAGAAAGTAGATTCTGGCTGCCTATGGTTGAGGGAGTTGAGAGGAAATGGGGTGATGAAAATGTTCTAAAATTGACTGTGGTGATGGTTGCACAACAGCAAATATACTGACAACCCCTGAACTATATGCTTTAAATGAGCGAACTGTATCCCATGTGAATTATATCTCATAAAACTGGGGTGTATTTTTTTAAGATTTTTACAACTTAAACCCTTCACCTAATTTTTACTAGTCTTCATTTCATAATGGAAAAAATGCTTTGTTTACATTTAAAATCAGGAATCCAAGCACTTTCATGCTCTTATCCAAAAAAATGTTAACTTTTTAGAAACTTTCAAATAAATTAAACTCTTTTAACTGATAGCTTCGCAGAATTACACGGTTCTTTACCGAAATTTCAAAATGCCTTATAATGCGCTGGGGAATGTGCTGGTTGGTGTGTTAGCTCCATTTTCTTTCTTTCCATTCTAGCTGTGCAGTTCTACAGAGTCATTACTGTATACTGTGGTCAGGAAATACAAATGAAGTAATGTCTTTGCTGGGGACAGCTTCAACTCTATAGAGCTCGAATATATTAAAAAATCACACATGCATGAAACACTAAACTGACAAACGGCCATCACAAATCTGCACAGATCAAATTTTCAATATGCTAAAGATCTATAACCTGAAGAATTATTTGAAGTCTGGAGAGGCTTCTTTTTCCATGTGTGCCATAAGGTCTTGTATTTCAAAGTGTGGTCCATGGACCAGCAGCATCAGCATCTTCTGGGAGCTTGTTAGAAATGCATATTCTGCCAGGTGCGTTGGCTCAAGCTTATAATCCCAGCACTTTGGGAGGCTGAGGTGGGTGTATTACTTGAGCTCGGGAGTTTGAGACCAGGATGGGGAATATGGTGAAACTCCATCTCTACAACAAAATACAAAAATTAGCCAGGCATGGTGGCATTTGCCTGTAGTCCCAGCTACTTGGGAGGCTGAGGCAGGAAAATCACTTGAGCCCTGGAGGCAAAGGTTGCAGCAGCTGAGATCGCACCACTGCACTCCAGCCTGGGTGACAAAGTAAGACTTTGTCTCAAAAAGAAAAAAGAAAATAAAAAGAAATGCACATTCTAAGGCCCCACCCACCCTAGACCTACTCAACCGTAATCATCATTTTAACAAGATCCCTAGGGGATGAATCTGCACATTAAAATTTGAGGAGCACTGTCCTAAGACATTCTCTTTGTTTTTCTCTTCATTAAGACAGCTCTGACTTGCACTAGACTAATATTTTAAAAGCCTGACATACATACAGTTCTGGTCCTGGGCCAGCTTGTCCTCAGATCCATTCTTTGTCCTTCTGCTCCAGTCCAAGTTGTGGAGGAGGTGACCCTAGCCAGGACAGGGTTCCCAGGCAGAAGGGGAACAGTACATCTGTAGCAGCAGCTGTGCCTTTGCAAGCCTCCAGTCACTGCCAGGTGGACCCCCTGTGACCCCAGTTTTTGGTGGGTGACAGCTGTCCCTGAAGTCTGAAATGCCATCTCCTTCCTTCACCCTCCAGCTTAGGGGTGGCAGCGGTTTCCTGCTTGTTGCCTCATCTCCGGCTTGCCTCACTGCAGCCTGCATTCTCAGTACTCCCACCACCTGTGTGACCACTCCCCTACGTTACATTCCTTCTGCTCTAAATACTTAAGGTGAGTTCTGTTTTTCTTTTTAGACTCAGATTGCTACCCCATACCATTTTTGATATTTCTATTATGTACCATAGATACCAGAAGAATTTTGTGAATGGCTTATCTGCTGGAAAAAAAAAAAATAGAGCTATTACATACAGTCAACCTCGCATTCCCACATTCTGACAATCTCTTAACAACTCAGAAGAAAAATCAGCCTTAAGCTATCTGTACAGCAGATGTGACTGTATTCAGAAACTCTAAGTCCTCGGGGTGTATTTTTAACAGTCTACCCATCACTCCTCCTCAACCAGAACAGCTGGTATAGCAGCTATTGTTTTAGGAGAAAAAAGAAGGAAAGCAAAAACACCTCTTAACCAACAAAATTCTGAACACTGGAATCTCTCAGGAATCAAATCTCTCTCAACACAATCTTGTTCTTAATCAACCTTTTAAATCACATGATCTACCCCACACTGGTCAGCACCTTGCCTGGGCAACAGAAGAAAGCAAGTCCTATCAGTACCATTTAGGGCTATGTGGAGATCTTCCCAAAAGCACATCTGGTCCATCACCCCCATGCTTTGAACAACCCTCTGTGGCCACCTCTTGCCCACGGCCAAAAAGCAAACCCCTCAAAGGACCAGCCCCTCGAAATTCAGCCTTAACTAACCCTTCCAACCTCTAAGTCTAATCAACGTGATCCACCTCTGGCCCAACTTCTAATCATTTCACAGTTGTGCCTAAAGCACTAGACACAACGTTCAAATATGTAGAAAGCCATTTCTTACCCTCTTAGCCTGGCGAATTCCTTATCCCTCAAGATCCCACCTTAAAGAAAACCTCTCCTGCCTCCCCAGGGCAGTCTCTGCCCCGAGTTTCCACAGCACTTAAAATGTTGTCATGTCAGGTGCCCAGGTGTCCATCTCCCCACTAGACTGAGAACCCCTAGGTGTAGAAACTACCTTCCATCTTAAGGTCTTGACCATGGTTCCAATCCAGATCCACATTTAGGACCTGTGACACCCTGGACAAGTCATTTAACCTTTACTTCTATTCCAATTCCAAAAGGCGGAGATGATAGCATCCAACTCATTGGGTTCTCACCAGTACTAATAAACTAACCACGTCAAGTGCTGTAAAGCTAACCCAAGAAATTGACTGGCACATAGACGGTATTAAAGAATTGTTATTTGCTATTGCTATCATTATTATTACTACTGTTACTGTTACACCCGGAACAAAGCAGGTGTTCCGTACCTATTTGCTGAATAACTGGAGCACTTCACAACAAACCTGTTTGTAACATGTTAGGACTTCAGATTCCCCCATCGCAGGTATCCAAAGCTGACAGAAGAGAAGGCTCCCACGGTGAAGGGACCGGCTGAACCTAACCCGCCCCTGAGGAAAAGCGCACTGCAGCAGGAGGAGAATGTCCGTGCCAACCGGATCTGCCAGCGCTGCCCCAGGGACTCAGCCTCCTCACGGCCACCTGTCCAGCCACCTGCCTGAGGAAGCAGTGTTCTAACCGGGCGGGCTCACCTGGAGCAAAAACCGTAAGCAGGTTTCAATAGGAAGCACAACGGGAAAACAAACGGTGCAACTTTCCTCCTGCAAAAAGGACGTGCGTCTTTATCTAAATATTTAGCGTTCGGAGTTCGCAGGGGAGAGTTGGGTGCCAAGCGGGTGCGCGGTCCCGGCTTTGCTGGGAGAGACGGTAACTGAACGCGCATCCCTTCCTTCCCTTTTGTGATCAAGGGGTGAAGAGGTGATCCCTCGCACCCGGGTCCGAGCGGACTTCTGAGGGCACCACAGGGAAGTCTGCAGGGCACTCGCGGGACACCACCCGACCGCTCCTGAGAAATGTGCAGAACTGGGGTTTGGGGACCGCGCACGCCCGCGGGGCGCAGCCGGGAGCCCCCGCGTGGGACCCGCTCGGTGGCACGAGCGCAGTCCCCTGCATCTAGGCCTCAGTTTCCTCCGAGTCCTCGCGGCCCAACTCGTCGCGCGCCCCCCGCCCAGCACGCGGCCCCCGGGAGCGCCCACCTGCGCGCCCCCCGCCCGGCCCCGCCGCCGCCCGCCG